CATAAGAGAGATAGGTCTGAAGTTCTCTTTTTTTGTTGGGTCTTTGTGTGGTTTAGGTATCAGGGTGACTGTTGCTTCATAGAATGAGTTTGGTAATGTACCTTCTGTTTCTATTTTGTGGAATAGTTTGAGGAGAATTGGTGTTAGTACTTCTTTGAAGGTCTTGTAGAATTCTGCGCTGAAACCATCTGGCCCAGGGCTTTTTTTGGAGGGGAGACTGTGAATGACTGCTTCAATCTCCTTGGGGGATATAGGGCTGTTCAGTCTTTCTACCTGATCTTGACTTAATGTTGGAAGATGGAATCTATCAAGAAAATTGTCCATTTCATTTAGATTTTCAAATTTTGTAGCATATAGGCTTTTGTAGTATGACCTAATGATTGTTTGAATTTCCTCTGTGTCTGTAGTTATGTCACCCTTTTCATCTCTGATTCTGTTGATTTGGATAGATTCTCTCTGCTTTTTAGTTAGTTTGGCTAAGGGTTTGTCTATCTTGTTGATTTTCTCAAAGAACCAGCTTTTTGTTTCATTGATTCTTTGAATAGTTTTATTTGTTTCTAATTGATTGATTTCAGCCCTGAGTTTGATTATTTCCAGCCTTCTACTCCTCTTAGGTGTATCTGCTTCTTTTTTTTCTAGGGTTTTCAGTTGGGCCATTAAGTTGTTTGTATGTGCTGTTACGAATTTCTTCTTGCAGGCACTTAGTGCTATAAATTTTCCCCTGAGCACTGCTTTCAATGTGTCCCATAAATTTGGGTATGTTGTGCCTTCATTTTCATTGAATTCTAGGGAGTCTTTAATTTCTTTCTTTATTTCTTCCTTAACCCAGCTGTCGTTGAGTAACAGGTTGTTCAGTTTCCATGTACCTGTAGGCAGTTTGTTATTTCTGTTGTTGTTGAGGTCCAGCTTAAGTCCATGGTGGTCAGATAGAATACAAGGGATTATTTCAATCTTTTTGTATCTGTTGAGGCTTTCTTTATGACCAACTATATGGTCTATTTTGGAGAAGGTTCCATGTGGTGCTGAAAAGAAGGTATACTCTTTTGAGTTTGGATGAAAAGATCTGTAGACGTCTATTAGGTCCATTTGATTTAAGGTCTCTGTAAGTGTTTTTATTTTCCTATTTGTTTTCTGATTAGTTGATCTGTCCCTTGGTGAGAGTGGAGTGTTGAAGTCTCCCACTATTAGGGTTTTAGGATCAATGTGTGATTTAAGCTTTAATATTGTTTCATTTACAAATGTAGGTGCTCTTGTATTTGGGGCATAGATATTCAAAATTGTGATGTCCTCTTGGTGGATTTTTCCTTTGATGAGAATATAGTGGCCGTCCTTATCTTTTTTGATTAACTTGGGTTGAAAGTCTATTTTATTAGACATTAGGATGGCTACTCCCGCTTGTTTTCTGGAACCATTTGCTTGAAAGACAGTTTTCCAGCCCTTTACTCTGAGGTAGTGTTTATCTTTGTTGCATAGGTGTGTTTCTTGGATGCAACAGAATGATGGATCCTGTTTAAGCAACCATTCTGTTAGTCTGTGTCTTTTAATTGGGGAGTTGAGTCCGTTGATCTTGATAGAAACTAGTGACCAACAATTGTTACTTATTTTAGATGTGGTGTTGGTGGTGTCACTGAGTTTCATTGCTTGTCTTCTTTTGTTTTTTGTGGGGTTTTTTTGTTGTTGTGTAGTTATCTATTTCCTCTGTTTCCTTCGATGTAGTTGTTTTCTTTGGTTTGGAGTTTCCCTTCTAGTAACTTCTGTAGAGCTGGGTTACTATGTAGATATTGTTTAAATTTGGTTTTGTCTTGGAATATCTTGAATTCTCCGTCTATGTTGATTGAAAGTTTTGCTGGGTATAGTAGTCTGGGTTGGAATCTGTGGTCCCTTAAGGACTGTATGATTTCTGTCCAGGCCCTTCTGGCTTTCATAGTTTCTGTTGAGAAATCTGGTGTGATTCTGATAGGTCTACCTTCATATGTTACTTGGCCTTTTTCCCTTGCTGCTTTTAGAATTTTTTCTTTGTTTTGTAGGTTCAGTGTTTTGACTATGATGTGACATGAAGAATTTCTTTTTTGGTCTAGTCTACTTGGTGTTCTGTAGGCCTCTTGTATGTTTATGGTCATCTCCTTCTTTAAGTTGGGAAAGTTTTCTTCTATAATTTTCTTGAAAATATTTTCCGGACCTTTGAGCCTGATGTCTTCTTTTTCTTCTACTCCTATTATTCTTAGGTTTTGTCTTTTCATGGTGTCCTTGATTTCTTGGATGTTTTGTGTTTGGAACTTTTCTGATTTTATTTTTTCTTTGAGAGACGTGTCAATTTCCGCAAGTGTATCTTCGGCTTCTGAGATTCTTTCTTCCATCTCTTGTATTCTGTTGGTGATGCTTACCTTTGTAGTGCCTGATCTTTTCTCTATGTTCTCCAGCTCCTGGTTTTTCTCTATTTGTGTTTTCTTTATTGATTCTAATTCTGTTTTCATGTCTTGCACCATTTCCTTCATCTGTTTGAATGTGGACTCCTGCTTTTCAATGATAGCTTCTATTTTTTTGTCTGTTTCCTCTCTATGTATCACTAATTGTGCCTCTACTTCTTTGGGTATAATTGCCTGTATTTCTATGAGAGCTTTGTTCATTTCTTCTTTATTTGCCTTCATTTGTGTGGACATTTCTTTGAGAGCTTTGTGCATTTCTTCTCTGTTTGCCTCAATTTTCGTGGTCATTTCTCTGAGTGCACGATTTGTTTCCTCTTGGTTAGTCTCGATTTCTTTGGTTATTTCTCTGAGGGCTTTGTTCATTTCATCTCTATGGGCCTCTAGTAGCTGGAGAAACATAGTTTTGAGGTCGTTTTCTTGTATATCTAGTGAATTGAAGTGTCCATTGTTTTGTGGGTTTGCTGGTGAGGTCATTGTGTCCTGATTTTTGTTGGGAGTGTTCTTACGTCTGCCTCTAGCCATCTGGTTATTTATAATCCTCACTGGTTGTTCCTCGAGATTGTAGTTTGGGCTATGATCCTCTCTTTCTGTTTTCTGGACTGTTTTTTCAGGAAGATGAGAGAGGTTCACTGCTTTGGGAGTGTGCACTTTGTTTTCAGTTTTGCCTAAGTAAAGAATGTGACGCTGGTGCTATTCGCGTGCGCTTTTACAAGGCGCAGTGTGCATGCGCAGATTCTCTGACTATTGCAGTGGCCTGCAAGCCACTATTACGCAGTTCTGACTGAGATCCAGGGATTGTTTGCCTGGATTACCTTGGTGGACCCGCAAGTCAGAGGCTTCACTGTTGGGGTCGCTATCCCAAGAATCCCTCTGATGCCCACACTACGAGTGTGGGTGGCAGGGATCTTGTCTGTGGAGAGGCCCTGGGTCTGGGGCAATCTCTCCCTAGAAGGCTCACTCACTCTCTTGCAGGACCAGTTGGAATGCACAGGGGTTCCCCTTGCTCACTACTCTCTGTTTTGGTCCTGTTGCGGAAGTGCACAGGTAGGCTATCAGTCAGCTCTGTGACACTGTGGCTGCAGAACTCGGTGTCCACCTTTCCTGTGTGCTGCCTCTTTGTCCTTTCCCTCTGCCAGGAGGGGTTATATTGACTGGTCCCTGGGTGGCGCGGGAAAGAGTTAGGGTGAGTGTACTCAATCCCAGATCCCGGGCCCAGATCTCTCTGCCAGAAGCAGCCTAACAGTAGAATCTATGTTTGCTGATCCCAAGAGAGTACCGGGTAGGGTTGAGTGACTTCAGATCCAGAGCTTGGGTTTCTCTGCTAGGGGCCGCTGGAGAGAGGGTGCTGTGTCCTTGGCAGGCTGCCTCTCTGTCCTTCCCCTCTGACCTTCTCCTCTGCTAGGTCAAGCTTATGGAGGTGCTCTCAGGGGAGTGCCAGCAGGGGTTGGGGCTTCTCAGTCTGATCCTGAGCTGGCGGCGTTTCTCTGGGGGGGGGGGGGGGCGCCGGTGTTAGAACTTGCTGCTAGACCTTATTGCGCTGGACCCAGGATAATCTCAGGACGTGTAGAATGACCACAGTCCCAGATCCTGAGCTATAGTTTGTTTGCTAGGAGCGGCAGGTAGCACTGGAGTTCCGGCACTGTGAAGCCGCTGTGGGCCTCTTTATCCTTCCACTCCACTGTGGCAGGGTTATGGCGGCGTTTGGGGGAGTGCCCGAAAGGATTGGGTTTTCTCAGCCCTGATCTCGGGTTGGGGTACAGACAATGTGGTCTGTGGCAGATTCTGCTGGATGCCTCCTGCCTCCTCCAAAGAGGGAGTAGGGATTTTGAGCTGGGCGCGCAGCTGAGATCCGTGCGCGGCAGGAGCTCAATTGTGATGGCGGCAGGTACCCGCCGAGGTCGGAGAGACCTTCCAGGGAAAGACTGGGTGATCGGTGACCAGTCTGGCAACTTTCCTTCCCCGTTGGGTTTTTTTGCGACTGAAACTCCCAGCCTCAGGCACCCATGTGCCCACCAATCAGCTTGGGAAACTGATCGGGACAAGCAGGCTTGCAGCACCAGCCCAGAGACCCAAAGCCCGCGTTAGCTGGGTTCTCTTCCGGGTTCTGGCTGGGCAGCCGAGAGTGGACCCGACCCATTCCCACGCCGTGGGAGCCTCCCCTCACCTGGGAAACACGATAGCTGTTGTTTTAGGGTCCAGAGTTCAGTCTCCTGGTCGCTGCACGGAGTGTGTTGTCCTGCTTCTCAGACACGGTGTTCTCCTGGTGCCGCCATCTTGGCTCCCCCCATGAGTCTTGAGTGTGTTTTTGTAAGAAATGTATTTAATATGAACGTTTGTGTTTTGTACATAATGGAGCCAAGAGAATGGCAAGCATTTTGTAAAGAGACTTTTATTTAGCTCCATGTCTTATTAAAGGTAGTCTTTTGCCAATTCTGGGGACTGAAGATCTAATACATACAAATCAAACACAGTGTAAAGTCATAATGCCCTCATTTATACTGAATATTTCACAGTGAGAAAGTGGCATGGGGCCTTGCTAAACTTGTAGTCTTATTGTTCCTTGATTTGTTTCAGGCTCTGGAAAGTGAATTTGTTTCTTGCCAACTCCATCAGTGGATTGACCTCATATTTGGCTACAAACAGCGAGGGCCAGAGGCAGTTCGTGCTCTGAATGTTTTCCACTACTTGACCTACGAAGGCTCAGTGAACCTGGACAGCATCACAGACCCTGTGCTCCGAGAGGTAGGTGTCCTGAGCTGCCAAAGTGTCTGGCATCTCTCAGACACACATCTGACTTCCCATCTCTTTCTGTGTAAGTCTCCTTTCAGCCTAACTCTTTAATATACATAGGTTTCAGGTTGTTGACAAATGTTTTATATATATATATATGAGCGAGCAATATGTTGGGGTTTTTGAAATACAGACATTTTAATGTAGAACGGTAATTTTACTTCAGATCTTCATTAAAATGCATAATGCATTAAGTGTGTTGTTAATGGGTGAGGCTTAGATGAATATTTTACCATGAATAATTCACTGAAATAATCAACAGCATAAGTTTTTAAAAATAAAAGCAGCTTTGCAACTTTCTGGAAGGAACAGTCGAATTGCTATACGAGTGTAATGGATGCCGTTATACAGTACTTTATTCCCCTGTGTTCTCAGCCTGAACTGTCTTTAGCTAACAGTTGGGAATTATAAGTATTTCAAATGAAAAAGTCATATTAAATTGCATTTAAATAACTTCCCAGACACAAATGACTTTGGTTAGGTGGGCACAGTAAAGATGCAGCAGCTGCTAGGTAAGTGTTGCTGCAAGGAAACTATATCCCTGCCCTCCATCCTACCCGCAATCTGCCATCTGCCATATGCAAAACAAGCCATTGTGGCTACATCTCCAGGCACCAGAATGCTTTTTCAGTTTTCATTTCAGAGGTAGGAAATGTTTAGATTTGGGAAATGAAGCTCTCTTAAAGCTTGTATTCATTTCTTACATGTTCTATAAAATAAAGATTCCGTTTGCTTGGCTCCAAGCAGAGAAGAAAAGAAGAGAGAGTACAACATCACTGATCATTTTTCCCTTAGGGCACAACACTTGAAGAACACATTTCAAGCATGTTATTAAAGGCAGTGTTGCACAGTAGCATCTGCACAGGGGGTTGGGAGAAGACAGAGGGTGAGTGGTCCAAGGAGAGCCCAGGTCTTGTGAAATTGTTTGAGGTGACAAATATCCTCCAGAGACGACTAACTCGCCTAATATAGTGCTCTCAGTTGTATATAAAATTTAATCATCTTATTTGGTATGAAGTAATTCTAATAACTATACCCCTTTGCTTAACACGGGCCCATTTTATAAATTCGTTACAAACAAAATTTATCTTTTCAACAAAATATTGAAACAGTTCTCATTATGTAATCCTGGACAACCCAGAACTTTCTATATAAACAAACCATTCTGTCCTGGAACTCACAGAGATCCACCTGTCTCTGCCTCCTTAGTGCCTGGATCAAGGGTGATCATTATCTTGTCCAGCCACAGTGAATACTTTTATAACCAGAAGAGGGAAAACTGGAATAGCTCATTCTTATGTTCCAAGCCCAAGTCCAAATTGGACTTGAGTTATAAATTTTATGGACATATTTGGTCCTGGTTATTTTGTCGTGCTTTTTTCCTCTAAAACAAAGTTCTTTATCTAAAAGGGAAAGTACAGGCTGATTCTGTTTGATAAAATACAAACTTGAGCATATTGAATATAAGGAAAACCATAGGGTAGCATCAGACTGATAAGAAAATTGCAGGTTTTTCTTATTTGAATCCCAGTTGAAAAGGAGACAAGTAGGCCAGACAAAAGACATCAGAATTAGAATTGAGATGCTCCTTTCTGTGAGCAGAGTATATATTTGAGCTTCACTATAGGGGTGTGCTTCTTTAGCCATCACGCCGTTATTCTGGACAGTGCCAAAGCCAATTAATTGTTCACATTGTAGGACCTGTGGCATAGAATGTGTGCCTTTCTCTGACTGGCTGGAAGGGAGTGGGTTCAGCCTCATGTTCACTCATTATGTAGATTTTCTGAAGAGAATCTATTACACTATAGACCTTTATACAACCCCAAGGAATGCAGACAGTCTAGTGCCAGGCAGCATGTCTTCATTCAAGACTGTGCTCCTACAATCAATAAATGGGACCTCATGAAATTGAAAAGCTTCTGTAAAGCAAAGGACACCGTCATCAAAACAAAGCGACTGCCTACAGATTGGGAAAGAATCATCACCAACCCTTTATCTGACAGAGGACTCATATCCAATATATATAAAGAACTAAACAAGCTGAAAAGCAATAAACCAAGTAATCCACTTAAAAAAATGGGGAACAGAGCTAAAAAGAGAATTCTCTGTAGAGGAATATCGAATGGCAGAGAAACACTAGAAGAAATGCTCAACCTCATTAGCCATTAAGGAAATGCAAATCAAAACAACCCTGAGATTTCACCTTACACCCATCAGAATGGCCAAGATGAAAAACTCAAGGGACAACACATGCTGGAGAGGTTGTGGAGAAAGGGGAACCCTCCTCCACTGCTGGTGGGAATGTAAACTGGTACAACCACTCTGGAAATCAATCTGGTGCTTTCTCAGACAACTAGGAATAGTACTTCCTCAAGATCCAGCCATACCACTCCTAGGCATATACCCCAAAGAGGCGCAAGTACACAAAAAGGACATTTGCTCAACCATGTTTGTAGCAGCTTTATTTGTAATTGCCAGAAGCTGGAAACAACCCAGATGCCCCTCAACTGAAGAATGGATGCAGAAACTGTGGTACATTTATACAATGGAGTATTACTCAGCAATGAAAAATAAGGAAATCATGAAATTTGCAGGTAAATGGTGGGACCTGGAAAGGATCATCCTGAGTGAGTTGTCCCAGAAGCAAAAAGACACGCAAGGTATATACTCACTCATATAAACATACAATATAGAAGAAACCCACTAAAATCTGTACATCTAAACAAACTAAGCAAAAGAGAGGACCCTAACTAAAATGTTCAATCCCCATCCTGAAAGGCAAAGAGGATGGACATCAGAAGAAAAAGAAAATAGGAAACAACCTCGGAACCTGCTACAGAGGGCCTCTGAAAGCCAGAAGAAAACAGGAAACAACCTTGAAACCTGCCACAGAGGGCCTCTGAAAGCCTCTGCAGTATAGACTGTCAAAGCAGATGCTGAGCCTGACTGTGCTCCTTTGAGCATTTCATTTGGAGCAAATACTTGCTGGATCCTGAAGCTCTGCCATCCTCAGAATCAAGCTAGGATGTCCATCTTCTCATCCTTAAACCCGTGCCCAGGTGTCTGAGCTATCATCTTTTAGAGCTATGAAGAGGCACACTGTGACCACACACCTCCTCCCTCCAGTTAGCATAGACCCTGACACAAGTCAACAGAGCCATCTGCGCTGGCTTCATCTTGAGGGCAGCAAGAGACTGAACAGGATTGAGGGTTTTTAAGGAATATTAACATTTTTCCTCTCCATCATTCCCTCTCATATATTCCCATTAATTTTAATGAGTAAGTTAGAAAAAAAACATATTCCCACCAAAAAAAAAAAAAAAAAAAAAAGTGTTTTGGTGCCTGAAGAGCACTGCTCTGCAAAGGCAACTCCACTCCAGAGCCATGAGCTAGCTGACGACAACCGGAGTGCTGGATCTCACTCATGGCCTTAGTTGCTCTATAAAAGGAGAATAACGCCTTCCCCCACGCAGGGGCACTCAGCTCCGCAGATAGTACAACTAACATTTGTGGTTTAAGGTTCATACCCCTCCCTGAAAAATATCACTGTGACAGATCCCCGGGGAGGTACAGTCCCTGGTTTCAAAGCATCTATATTAGCACGCTAAAGCCTGCCCCACTAGGCCATGGCTTGAGAGAGTTTCTTTCAACCTAAAAGACTGAACAGATTTCTACAGAAAATAGCTCAAAAGTTAGCCTGTCCATGATGCCTGCATTCACTTTATTTATAATTACCCGTTTTATATTTTAGTGAAAATATCATGGATAGATAAAATCTAGGAAAGCTAGATTTTGTTTGTTTCATAATGCCAGTTTTCCTGATTAATATAATTTTATTTAAAAATGCTAAGCACCACCTTAAAAGACTAGCATATCCCCTCTGCTTAAAGATTCTGATCTGCCTCGAATGCTGAGCTTTGAAATTAGTACTAAAATTTGAGAAATAGCCTCAGGTTATTGACTCATTCTTCCCTGACAGGTGAAGTCATGAACCAGCACTAACCACAGCAATTATGGCATTAAAATGTCAAGAAATTAGAGGTCAGAATAACAGATAATTTTCTTCTCTGTGTCAGATTAAAAATTGGCATTCTTTGACAGTTTAGGATCCCTGGCTGAGAAAATGATGACAGCTTAACTTATTTTATACTTGTAAAGCAGTAATTGATAGTAAACTTTATCTTGACAGCTTCTGGGCAGAAACATGACAGCGCAGTTCTGGTACAAAGCTCCTTAATATGTAAACACTAGGTCTGCTGGAGAGGAGAGATTTATTTAAACTGTCTTAAGTCTTGTCTTACATCATTATCTTCTGGGCTCTTTTCTCGTGATAGCTCAACTATTTGGGCAGTGGCTTTGGAGCGTGGCAATGAATATTCTTTCTTCTCCTTTTTATGTATTAATAAAAATCACCATTTTCTTTATCTGCCAAGTAACCTGCATAGGTAAAGGGTTCTGGTTAGTAGCCACTGGGTGCTATGGTTTTCTTCCTGCCTGCTCCTCAAGTGTGATCCAGAGCTCAGCAGAATCCCAGCACCAGGGAGCTTGTGAGAACTTCTGGCTAGAAATGTAAGCTTCCATGACATGACTCAGAACAGCATTCACTTGAACCCATGGACTTCTATGAGATGTTAGAGGGTTAGGTTTTTAGTCTTTAAAACATATTTGGTTGTGTGTGTGTGTGTGTGTGTGTGTGTGTGTGTGTGTATGTGTATGTGTGTGTATGTGTGTGTGTTAAATATGTATATATTTGTGCATGGGTACCACACTGTGTGTGTGGAGGTCAGAGGACAACTTAGGGACGTCAGTTCTCTCCTTGTACTGTATGAGTTGTGGGACTGAACTCCACTGAGCCTTCTCACCAGCTGCAAAAGATAAAGTTGGGGAAGGTTTGCTCTACATTAGGTAAGCTAGAAGCTTCTGCTTTTCTCCGTACGCAGAGAGAATAAAGA